AAAAAAAAAAAAATCCCAAAAATGAAGAAATGTAACGAAATATTTTCAAACTGTGACATAACATGTCGTCCATGTGTGATGCTCAAAACTCAAACGATTATAATATTAAATAAAAGAAAATTGTAAAATTTTGTTATCCAGTGGAAACAGAATCCGAACTGAAAAGCTGACTATTGGAAAATGCACAAAAAATTTCATTCAGCTTTTCATGCAAACGGAGAGTTCAGTTTGGTTTTTCGATATTGTGCTTCTCACACCACTACAATTATAGTTATCTAACCTCTCCAGCATGAAGACCAATGTGCTCAGACCACAGAGAAAGGCGAAGACTCAACGCAAATCTTCCGGCTCTCCAAGACTTCCCCCCAATCCACGAGTCAACAAATTCTTTGTCCTCGATAAGTACTCCAATCTGCAAAATTTCAGAATCCAGTTGAAATTAACAAGAGCAGGCAAAACCTCACCTGTAAGGTGGCATGATTTAATGGGACAAATAAGGCAAACCCAGACGAACAAAATGAAAGTCAAGCCAATTGAGGACAATATCATGAGAAATCACAAAATGCCAAAACTATCAAGTACAGTTAGTTCCACCGTGCGGAATAGCTATAACAATTTGTTATAAGAACAAAGCTGTAACAGTAAAAAAATATTAATAATGCGACACTACAGATACACAAAATAACAGATAGAACTATCAGTTCTGACAACAATTGGAGAGATCAAACACATGGGCTAATGGACATAAATGCACTTTTAACTTGTTCGAAGACCAATGAAAGAACAAAGGCTAACAGTGAAGGATATAAATCATACCTCAGAATCTCTAGATCCAAGCAAACTTCGGTCGTTAATATTTGCGGAGCTAATCAATGTTGTGTGATCATCAACAATCATGATCTTGCTATGAACGTAAACCTGACAAGATATGCAACTATTATTGCTACCGATTTCGTGAATCTTCATCCACATGATACCAAGGTCTCAAAAGATGCTAATGAAAAGCAACTGAGGTCCCAAAAAAATGCACATGTACCTGACTAGTGGCAACAGGTCCGTCGTTAAAAAGTTTTCCATAAGCTCTCAGACCATAAAAAGATATATAATCATACATTCTAGGGCCAACAAGGTTATAGAGGTTATGCAGTATTGAACTATTTCCTCTGCATATTGTTCGATATTGCCAATGCATAATAGCTCTCACAGAAGCAGCACCAGAATCGTCCACTCCACCCTATTAAAAAGACATGGTGAGATGAAAAACCAATAATAAGCAAAGGCAAATGACCAAGAACAGAATGTATACCTGGAAACCGGGTAGGAGAGGTATGACAATAATAACCCTGAAACACTTCTTTTCATCGACAGCACGCACTATACGCCTATACAATGCCTCTAAAACACGATTTTGAATAATTTCATCACCCGATAGACCAGAAATGAAGAATTGATTCTGAAACGAATTTCAACAGAAGTCAGTCAGAGAATTCGACTAGTGAAGCTTTAGAACACATAACTCAAGAGAAATGTATGAATATTGTTCACAGATATTTCACTGTAACCCCATGCAAATTCTATTCTAAAACATTGCTAGTCGCTGCCAAAGATATTGACAGATAAGACATTTTACATTTTATCACGTACATCATCCGTCTCACTAAGATAGCCTTGTTCTCCATTTTTGTTAATTCCAAATTAAGGCATGTTTTCTTATTCAGGGCAAATTTTAATCATCAATTGACTTATGTAACCCTCGTTAGCGGTTAATGCCTCTATAGTCTCATTAACATTTCAATTTTTCTGTGGCATTTATTACAAAGGTAAAGAAATTGAAAAGAAAATTACAATGATAAACAATGAAATTAAAAGCTCAAGGTAAGATCCCATCACAGAAACTGAAAGCCTCGTGTAAGATCCCATCACAAACCTCAATGTAGACATAATGGTCTGCTCTGTCAATAAGTGAACAGTATGCATTGTGAATACTTTCTTCAATCTGGCTTGTACCAGCTGACCACTGGCTGACACTCCTAATAATCTGAGAACCACAAGCCATCCACGACATGATTAAGAGACAAACCCAAATTTCAAAAAAGCACGCAGATTATCAACACCTCGCAGAAGAATTAATAGGAACCACTAGAAGTATTAAAGACAAATGTCAACCCTTCAATTAGAATAACTGTCATCAAGCTGGTATTGATATTTTGATGTCTATATACATATTTTGGGGGTGGGGTGGGGGGGAGGGGTGAAGGGGGAGGATGTGTTTAAGCTTGTAGCTACAAGATTGAGAAACAGGCCCAAATTACAGTCATTTACTTAACATGGCCACTCAATAGAAAATTTGAGCTTTCTCCACTTCAGGAGGAAAGAGAGGGAGTGATTCTGCAAATCTATTATCTAATAATGACCTGAAGAATCGAGAACCTTCTCAAACTGAAGCACAACCCTAATATGTACTGAATACCATTAGCCACATTTGAAGGATACACAGGATTTATAGATGTAGCTTCTAAAAAATATGATGGAGCCTGCTATGAAATGAAAATCATGTGGTCGAGATATTAGCATGAAATTCTTAATATGTTTGCATTATTACTGGGTCTCTGAACTTAACATGCAAATTAGCATTATGACGAAAACCCCAAATCATATGAGAAGCTATGTGAGCTAAGATGGACTACTACATACAAATAAAACCTCACCTGACAGCGACATGACACTCGCGGGCCGACCTGTCCAATCTCATCAGCAGGAACAACTTGACCCCCTCTTTCCTGAATTTCCCACCATTCCTTATTTGGAACTTCCGAGCTGGACTGCATCACATGGGAAGACAATCCATTCTGGATGT